AATTACTAAACTCGAGCCCTGCCCTACAAAAAAGTCTAAGATCAAATACGAAAATTTTCGTTTTCAATGTACGTTCACCTCCCCCACGGGGTGGCGAAAAATGAAAAAAACAAAAAGTTCAAACACACACACGCGCATTAACTAATAAATACCTGGTGACTGGCCCCATGAAAAAGCCATACCAAAACATAAGTGCTACAGTGATTTCAACTGCTGCCTTTTAATTATAAAGACAAGCTCAAAACATGCAAACACACTTATCTACGCAGTCGATCGGGAGTGCTCAAAAACACGTCCATCCACCGTGACAGTCCGAACTGAACAGAGAAAACCAGTCGAAGAGACCTGTTGGGGCGACGTCACTGAACGTCGAAGTGCTAAAGACCACTTATCGACGCAGAACCATACACAAGCTGATCCGACATCACCAGCTGCTGCAAAAGATAGCCCCCTTTCACTCGACATAGCAGTGACAATTGGTGGTAGTGCAGTTATTCAGTTAGTGGGAACTGGCTCAGACTACTCCAAACTAAGCGGGAATTCACAACGCAGCTAAAGAAAGTGACCCCGCTGTGGCCATAACTCGCAGATTCGGACAGCAGGTGGCAATTATGGATACTTTGCTGGGCGCCTGCACAACTAGCGCACAGATTCAAGGGTATACATTCGTAGCAAGCTGCCTTTTGCGCGAATGCTCCCATGACGTCATTTTAGGAGGTGACTTTCTACAGGAAAAATGAGCTATCAGTGATCTGCAAGAGTGGCGCGTCATGTTGCCAGCCTAGTGAACAGTAAACGTGCAAGATGACGAAGATGTGTCGACGTACTTCGTATTTCTGACCAGAGCGTGACGCTTTCTCCGCGAGCAAGTGTTCTAGCCGACGTAACATGCTGGGGTTTGTGCGATGGCGATATTGTGGCCGAGACAAATTTAAAACACCTCCTGCCGAAAAGCACTTGTGTAGCTAGAAGTGTAATACACCTTCGCGATGGCCGATCTGAATTGCTCGTTACCAACTTCAGCAACGAGCATCAACACCTTTTCTGTGGCACTTAGATAGCGTTTGCCCATGAAGTAGCAAACGTCACCAACTGTCTCACGTCAGAAATAGTGGATACCGCAGACGTGTCAGTGAGTAATATTGACATCAATTCTGATCTGTCCACCGATAACCAGATCACGCTGTGAGCGCTCTTGTTCCTGTTCAGGTCTTGCTTTGCAAGTTGCTCAAACATCCGCCAGACGTCCATCACTCAACACAGGATCATCTCGTACGAAGACGCATGTTCGACACGCGAGCGCCCTTACCGCGTGTCAGCTAAAGAACGTGATGCGATACATGCGCAATTTCGCGAGGTGCTTGACAAAGGCGCTATCGAACCATCCAACAGATCGTGGTCATCTCCAGTCGTGGTTGTCAAAAAAAAAAAGACGGGTCGCTACGCTTCTGCGTCGACTACCGAAGGCTTAACAACGTGACCGAAAAAGATGTGTGCCCGCTGCTGCGAATCGACAATTCACTGGATAGACTTCGTCGTGCACAATATTTCATTTCTCTATATCTCAGAAGCGGGTACTGACAAATTGATGTAGATCAACAAGCCCGCAAGAAAATAGCTTTTGTGACAATAGACGGCCTGTACTATTTTCTTTCTTCTTGCTTGTGTTCAGCGCCGGAACGTTCCAGCGAATGATGGACACTGTTCTCACTGTCCTCAAGTGGCAGACTAGTCTTGTCTAACTTGATGGTGTGGTGGTCTTCTCTGCCACGTTCGCGCAGCTCCTTCACCACCTGCGCAGCGTGCTGAAGGCTATCCGATCGGAAGACCCCACACTAAAGCCACAGAAGTGCCACTTCGGCTATAAGGAGCTCAACTTTCTTGGACATGTAGTTAGCGCTGAACGAGTCCGGTCCAATTCAGACAAGCTTGATGTTGTTGCTGAATAACCAGCTCCTGTCGACAAGAAAGCCATCCGGTGCTTCCTTGGTTTGTGCGCCTACTATCGCCTGTTCATTCATAACTTTTCACAGATAGCAGAACCTCTGACTCGACTCACAAGGCACAAGACGCCGTTTGTCTGGGAAAAGAAGCAACAAGCAACTTTTGATGAGCTGCGACAGCGCATGCAATCAGCGCCCGTTCCCGCTCATTTCGACGATGATGCTGACACAGAGGTTCATAGTGACGCTAGTGACATCGGGCTCGGTGGAGTGCTCGTTCAGCCTCAAGATGACATTGAAAGAGTCATAGCCTACGCAAGCCGGTCTCTATCCTGTGCCAAGGCGAATGGTTCTACTACAGAGAAAGAGTGTCTCGCAAATTGTGTGCGCAATCACCAAGTTTCGCCAGTACATTTATGGTCGCCCCTTCAAGATAGTGACAAACCACCATGCCCTTTGTTGGTTTGCAAGCCTGCGTGACCTTTCAGGACTGCTAGCATTCTGGATCTTGCAGCTGCAAAAATTTGACGTCACCATTGTCAATAACTCCGGCCGTAAGCATGAAGACGCTGACAAACTCTCACTCGCACCTTCCCATGTCGTCAGTCAGAAAGCAGAGTAATGCTAAGCTTCTCTGGGCACCATTAGCTCATCAGACTTGAGCAAACGGCAGCGAGTTGACGCAGAGAATCGTGCCATCATCAATCATTTAAAGGGCCAGAGGGTAATCATACCACGTCATTTATCCCGCTCGTTGACGTCCTTCTGCCTGCGAAACAGTGGGCTCTACAAGAAGAACGCTCGCTGGGAAAAGCGTGCTTACCTCCTGGTGGTTCTTCGAGACATGCGATACGACGTCCTCTTTGCTTGGCATGACGAGCCCACATACGGTCGTCTGGGCTACTCATGGACACGTGCCAGAGAGAGCGAGAAGTACTATTGGCCACGACTTTTCCCAAGCGTCAAGAAGTACGTCAAGAGCTACAGCGGTGGAAGAATCCATCTGTTAGGCCAGCTGGTTTGCTTCAGTCCATTGAAGCGCCTTGCGCGCCGTTAGACCAAGTCGGCATGGGCATTCTCAGGCCACTTTTCCCTGTCTGTGGACAGCACCAAATGGGTGATCGTCGCTACCTACTATTTGACACGCTACGCAGACACGCAGACAATCCAACGAGCCACGGCTTCTGAGATAGCACAATTTTTCATGCGCCACTTCGGGGTGCGATACAGTTCTCCTTCCAATATAACAGTGAACAGAGGGACGGCATTCACGGTGCCGCTTATGGACAACCTTTTCAATCTAAGCAACACCAGACGCCGAAAGACAACTGCCTACACTCTCAAACCAACAAAGTTACAGAGCGACCAAATAAAACCCTCACATACATGATCTCAATGTACATCAAGTGCAGAACAAATCATTGGACCAGATCTTTCTTTACGTGATCTTCGCGTATAATACCGCCGTGCAAGAGACCACGCGATTCACGCTGCTTCGGCTTCTCTACGGCCGTGAAGTGCATACTATGATGCACTCTATGCTACCGTGTCAAGACAAAGACGAGTTGGAAACTGACGCCGAAGAACTCACAGGACGTGGAGAAGAAGCCCGGCAACGCGCGCACCTGCACATCGGCCAGCAACAGCAGGCAGGCGCACGATCCTATAACACCCGAGAAGAGAAGTGTTTTACAACCCTGAAAACCAAGTTTGAGTGCGAATGCCCATCCGCCGTCGTGGTCCTATTGAAAAGCTACTGAGCTTGTGCTTTGGCCTTTATAAACTGTAACGCCACGTCAGTGACGTGAAGAACGAAGTGGTTTCGGACTCAACACCAAACGCACGGAGCGAGACACGGCCGAGGCCTGACGTCATTCTTGTGTTGCGCATGAAACCTTTTATTGCGTGTTGTTGATAACTTTATTCTTTACCGTACACCAGTCTGTGTGTTATTTATTTTTGTGAACTTGCTTCTTTGTTCTTTGACTTTTCCTATAGAATCCCTGCTGTGGCGGCTGCATTTCCGATGGAGAGAGAATTGTTTCAGACCCATGTACTGAGATTTGGGTGCACGGTAAAGAACCCCATATGGTCAAAATTTCCGGAGCTCTCTACTTTGGCGTCTCTTATAATCATATGGTGGTTTTGGGACGTTAAACCCTAAAAATAAATCAATCTTTTCCTATAGTGGCACAATCTTTACTTTCTTCTTTCACTTTATTCCAATTTCCAATTTCTGTTGTTACGTGCTCAAGCTGTAGCATTGGGGTTACGCTATGTACATTTCTATCCCTCTTTTGGGACTTTTTTTTCTTTTTGAAAGAGGGGATGCTGCCACCCGGACGTAGTGGATCGATGCAAAGGTGCAATGCAACCCGAAAGTAGTGAGTTGACGACAAACTCCGCTCTCCATCTGGAGAAAAATTTGAAGAACGCGTGCTTCTTCTCTGCTCGAGAGCCAGCCACGACTGAGGCATCGTGCTGGAGCAAGCTTCTCGGCGGTTTAATGAACCCCCCTGTACTTGGTATTCATCGTGAATATAAAAGTGGGTAAAAAACAAGTTCATAGAAGTTCATTGTCGTTGTTTGAACATTTACGAAAATACTTCGGGAAACTGGTACTCAAACAAATTGAAAAGAGCAAAAAACAAAGTACTTTTTCTCTCAAAGCTTGATGTTATAATCTGTGAAAGGCTTGAAGAAATATAAAAAATGAGATCTTCAACGAAACGAAGATATATGAAATAGAATATGTCAGCGTATAGCTCAATGCTCTGAAACGGTGAACAACCTTTTTTTTTACCGAGCATACTTGTGAGTCAGTTAGCTATTGTGTATAAGGTTCTTGTCGGTTTTTGATAGCTGATGGCAAAGAAATAATGCGACAACGAACTTTTAACCGAGAGCACAGCATTATCTATATTGCGGCTTTCTACAAGAATAATATCTCCTAGCTTTATAGTAGTTATTTTAATGACAAATAAAACCCATGTAAGCGGCACATTTAATAAACGTCAGGATTCAACATGAATTCACGCGTCGGAGTATAAAAGAACCCAGAAAAGACACCGTAGATAATACTTCAAATTCATTATCTCTGTGAGTGTCATGACATTTTTGGCTTCTTAAGTTTAAAAGAGTACCGACGCTTTCACCGCACGTCACGCAGAAAAGCAGGAAAAGATAAGGTACGTTGTATGATTGGCAACATGTGCCTGAAAAAAGGTACAGTTTAGGGAATGCCCTTACATACACTGAAAGAACACTTGCAGTTTGTGATGACGTAGAAGGGTCTCAATACATTGGCGCCACAAGCCAATTATTGAAAACCCATTCACGCAACTACTAAATTTAATCATGATGAGTGAATGAACCACTGTGTGATGTATGGGCGAGCAGCTCTACCTTGCTCGAGCTTTGCAACTTATGATGTTAGAAAGATTTGACGACAAAAGTAGGTCATGAGGTCCTTAAGGCATACGTTGAAGCCACAGACCAGTATGAAGAGTTCGTGCTTTTTGTCACTATAGTGTGTTATAAATTAAGCGTCTTTTTGTTTTATTGTTAAAGCTCCATTTGTGTCTGACATGCTTCGATTATACCATATGTTACGCGACCATTGCCCCAAGTTTCCATGACAATGAACACAGTGGATAGACAAGGCTCGTCTTCAATGTGCTTCCAGAGCTTCCTATATATATATATATATATATATATATATATATATATATATATATATATATATATATATATATGGCACAACGGGAGCGTTGTCAACAAGGATAAATATATTTATTTCTCAACAGTTTCGTGAGAGGGCTTCCCTTCATCAGGGATGAGTTAGTATAACTCATCCCCTGATGAAGGGAGGACCCCTCCCGAAACTGTTGGGAAATAAATGTATTTATCCTTGTTGACAACGCTCCCGTTGTGCCATATCCCGTACCTTCACGAAGACTAACTGGCCCATTGAATTATTACTCCCACTATATATATATAAATATATATATATATATTTATATATATTTATATATATATATATATATACATATATATATATATACTGAACAAGTTTTTCCAGTGGGCCAAACGTACTTGGGAAGAGAAGAAACACAACCTCGCGGTTGTCTTTCCTTCTTGCACCACCATGTCGATGCGGCATGTTCGCATAGCGTCGCGCTTGTTCGCGAACCCTGACGAAGACCAGTCCACCGGTCGAAATCGTTGGTAATAAAATTAGGACAACCGCTAAGTTGTGTTTCTTTTCTGCATATATATATATATATATATAAAGAGAGAGAGAGAGAGAGAGAAGAGACAACCTCGTGTTTGTCCTAATTTTATTTTCAACAGTTTCGACGAAGGGCCGGTCTTCATCAGGGTTTTTTCTTGTTCACAACCCTGATGAAGACCAGAGCACCGGTCAGAACCATAGGAAATAAAATTAAGACAACCACTAAGTTGTGTCTCTTCTCTTCTCAAGTAAGTTTGGCCCATTAGAAAATATTCTTCAATACATATATATCTAGACGACGAGTGCCTGCCAATACCGGACGTCTTTCTTCTCTCTGCTGCACTGGTGTTGTTGTTGGGGCTCGTTTGCTATAAAATGATCCCACTGTTACGATGCCCCTCCTGCAGACGAAGCCCACCGGGCGATAAGTAACCGGGTGGGCCACCGAGTAAATGACGTTACACGTGCTATATACACGACTTCAGTCTTCGATTATCATCTTCCTGTGACTGTTAAGCGTACGACCTTATGATTCACCTCACCAAGGTGAATCATAATGTGGGATTCACGTCACCGAGCTAAGTTGAATCCCACAAATGGTTCAATATAGTTAGCGAGGAGGTTTTGACACAGTGTGCGCTTACTTACTGAAATCTATAGCCACATTAGGTCACCTGACTGGGAGGTGACAATTCGGTGTCGACTCTCTTATCGGGACTTAGAGCGCTGTTGGAACGCCAGTGTACCCAAACGAGCGAGGCGGCGAGCCTTTTAAACGCGGCAGAGTGTTTTGTTTATACAAGCGTTGGCATGTTCACAGAAAGCGAAGATAGAGTGCGAAGTGTACCTGACAGCACGAGCATAAAGCAGAAAAAATGGCTATAATTAGTTGCCTTGTCCTGCACGGTATTACTTGCGTATGTAACAAACGAAAGCACTTCATTTCAGTTCTTGTGGTTCAAGCTGACGTACATAGACAGCATGTTCACGAGAGTTCTATTCATGCACTCACCACAGCATTTGGTTTGAAGGTGATAGGACGTTGAACGTCGAAGATTTGAGGCACAAAGGCGCAGAAGTTTCTCAACATTAGCATTGGTGAACTGACAGCCACGATCACTAACAATGACGCGAGGAGGACCATGACGAAATTTTATCGAATGCAGTACAAACTTGGACACTTTGATTACAGTTTCCGAGGGTAGTCTGCCGTATCACAGAACCAAATCAGGTAGTTGGCACACACTAGGATTCAACGGTTGCCTCTGGATGAAGGTGGTAATTGTCCTACTAGGTCAATGCCTTCTTGTTCAAAAGGCAAGCTAGGTGGTACTACTGGCTTTAGGCAACCGGCTAGTGCTTTGGTAGCTGCCTTGTGACTTTTTGCCGCAGCTCGCTACGCATGTCTCCGTTGTCCCTCGCATTTAGGGCAGTAAGATCTCTCCTTGGCCAATAAAGTGTCCACTTGGATGATATGTAACCGGTAGTCAAATCATCGTGTACATTGCGCAATACAGAACAGCGAAGGAATTTCATCAGCACGAAGAGAAACTGGGCACCTGTGGAGGAGAAATTCTTCTTATACAGCAATCCATCGCGCAGGCAAAAATGAGACTGTCGACAATTAAGAAAGTTGCGGCATTTGGGAAATCCCGATGTACGTTGGTGGTCAAAAGATGAAACGTATCAATTTCAAATACCATTGCACAGAGAGGCCTTCTAGAAAAGCAGCCGGCTTTAGCATGCCGGCGCCATCTCTTTTAGGAGGCAGTGAAACTGTACTGTTGATAACTGAGGGCCCAACGCGCAAAGCGTTCTGGCAGATCATGAAGTTTGACTAGCCAGCTGAGAGGGCGGGGGTCGGTGGTCATCGTAAACTCACGCCCATACAGGTACGACATGAACCTCTGCAAAGCGAAGATAACGGCAAAAAGTTTCTGTTGAGTGACCGTAGAGTAACGTTCAGGTTTGCTCAATGACCGACTTGCATGGGCGAATATATCTTCTTTATTGTTCAAGTGCTGAAAAAGAACAGCACTAAGACCTACGCCACTCGCGTCGGTGGGTACCTCTGTTCACTCTGTGAGATCTAAGTGCCACAGTATTGGCTGTGACGACCGCAGAAACTTGAGTTGTCGAAAGGCAGCAGAATACTTGGCTGTCCACTGGAATGGGGTGTTCTTTTGCGGTAGACTTGTGAAAGAATAAGCAACGTCAGCAAATGGAGACATGAATATTCGAAAGTTAGATAATAGTCCCAAGAAGCCGCGAAGTTCCTTTACGAACTAGGGAGCTGGAATGCTTCAACACCCGCCGTCTTTGCAGCGTCGGCTCTAACACCATCTTTGTCCACGAGATGTCTCAGCGCCAAGGCTACACGTTCACCAAAATGGCCCTTTGTTGGAGTTTAGCACAAGACAAGCCTTCCGTTACAGCTGAGGACGGTGTCGTGACACTCGGTTTGCTTGTCAAAGGTGCACCCATAGGTGATAACATCATCGAGATAGCACATAATTATCTCCCAGTTCAATCACACAGAATAGTGTCCATGAATTGTTTGAAGGTACCAGGTGGATGACACAAGCCAAATGGCATAATGTTGAATTCAGAGTCTGTCCGGTGTTTCGAATGCTGTTTTTTCTTGTTCGTTAAGCATCAGGATTCGGCAATAGTCGAATCTCAGGTCGACATAAAAAAATTAAGAAGCCGAATGCAGACAGCCAAGAGGGTCGTCTACACGTGGAAGTGGGTGCACATCTTTCATGGTAATGCTGTTCAGTCATCGGTATTTGACACAAAGGTGTGAACTGCCGTCTCTCTTTTTGACGAGAATGGCAGGTGCAGCCTCAGGGCTCGCGTACTCCTGAATCGCTGTCTTCTGCAAGATTCCTTTGACTTTCTCACCAATTGTTTTACGTTTTTCTAGTGATACTTGGTACGGCTTCTGTCGTAAAGGATTCCGTGACTTTTCATTGATACGACGGTGGTCTCGAGAAGTTGGAACTGGGGACCATTTAATGTTTAGGAACAAATCGAACACTCCAGAGTGTTTCTTTAAAATGCGGAGTAGCGTGTAGAACTCACTAGTGGTTAGAGACTTGCTCACCATCTGAAGTATCTTAGAGTCCGAACCGCAGGAATTGAGGGAAATGCCTGAAGCAACTTCGAGTAAAGTGAGTGAATTCGGTGCTTTTTCCTTGAATAGCGCTAGCATTATGCCAGATGGTAGAAGTAAGACAAGGATGCGTAATTCATCACCCATATTCCGGAACGTCTTTCAACTACCAACAATGAGCAATGCAGCCCCGAGACAATCTTTTTGGCACAGGCCGAGTGAAGGGGTTCCCCTGCAGCATAAATGTTGTGGTCATTCATGGTGCCAGAAGAAATGACGGGAACGCAGACACCACAATTTGCTGGCACGACGCGATTCTCTGTCGTAAAGAAGGCACTTTCTTGGCATGCACAGCTTTCAACAAGTTCAGTCATCCCTTTGTCATTTACCGACAGCTCCCCACTTCGATAGTCCACAGTGGTACCATAATCCCACAAGAAATATATCCCTTATACAACATCATGCATTGATCTAAAAATAACGGCGAATTCAGTAGTGAATGCATTGCCACACAAACATACATCGGCAGTGCAAAGAGCAACCAGGCATAACGTGTCACCACTAGCACTACTAAACTTCGTCATATTGTTCCAACAAAACTTAACTTTTTGTTCAAGTAAACCTTTGTAACTGAAGCTCGTGGCCATCCCAGTGTCTAGATATGCAAAGTTCGCACACTGTCCAAACGAATAAGAATTATGTTTTTTGTCATAAAGGGTGTCGGGGACATAACGTTTGGCAGCATAGAGTATCCAGACACCTCACCCCTATCGGGCACATTCCCTAGTTTTTCTGATGTGGGAATGGAAGGCACCGCCGCGGTGTCGGAGAATGCGGAG